CTAAGATGCTGAACAACAGCTCAACCTGGAGCTGGGCTGCCCTGAGTCGCAGAGGACAGCGTAGGCTGCAGCCCCTGATGCAGTGAATTGCCATGGGCTACCGTATGTAGCCAGCAGCCAGCGTGAGCGGCCAGCAGCTACAGTGAGCGGTCATCCAGAAGCCGGTGACTGATCTGCCTCGCCCGGGAAGAGAGTAATGATGGTGCCAACTTGGGCCAGTGAAGCAACGTCCTCCACAACTAGACTGAAGAACAGAAAGGACAGCAACTTGTCTGTCCCCCTTCCCCCAATTCCCCAGGACTGTTCCCATCCCCCCAATTCCCCAATAAAAATCTTTAAAAACAAACAAACAAAAACATCTATTACTGAGCCCACCAATGATCTCCCAATCCTGGGGGGGGGGGCTCCAATGTGTATTGTGTGTTCTCTAGGTGATTCTTTGGTGCACAAAGTCTGAACCTTTTGTTTTGCACCTGATCATCGATTATTTTTTGTTCCATGACATTATTTGCATTTACTGCCCTACAATATCCTTGGAGAAACTTTTTTTTTTTAAAGAATAAATCATTGAGATTTTCTGGTCAAGGTGGCACAGTAGGTAAATGTTATGCTTACCTTCTCTCACGACCACATCAAAATTGCAACTAAACTACAAAACCATACCATTGAGAATCGCCTAAAATCTTGCTGAACCAAAGCTCTACGACTTAGGACATGCAGAAGAAGCCACCTCGAGACTAGTTGGAGCGGCAGAGATGTGGAATGGGCTGGTCCCATAGCCATGTGTGATCATTAAAAATTGGGAGGGATATCTTGGCTGCAGAGGTTCCCACCCCTTCCCCAGGAGCGAGGGGTTCCAGCCCAGAGTTCCAGTGCTGAGTAGAGAAGTCTCCATAATTTCTGGCTGTGAAAACCAGCAGAGATTGTGGCTGAGTGAGATGGAAGGTGGCTGGAGTCCCAGGTGCTCCTGTTAAAGGGCCTGTGCAAGGACTTACTGCCAGAATCACTGGCTCTGAGCTCTAGCACTAGGCCAGCAGCTGGAGAGGCAACAGCGACATATGATGGGGAACTGAGTTGTCTGACTTCGGAACGGAAACTGGAGGAGCAACTTTCTTCTAGACAAAAGAGCTGGCAGAGCCTATTGGTTTTTGTTGAGCCCTCCCCCTTCCCTGTGTGCAGACACATGCAGCTGCCATGTCTGAGGCTCCATCGAGCTGGTTAACTTGCTTGTTTGCCATGCCCTGGTGATTTCAGACCCCTCCCCGCTCAACTCTCGGGCACACCCAAGCCACTTCAAGTGGCTTTTTCATACAAACCACCTGCTTTGGCTCATGCTGCAGACTTTCCTAGGGTCTCCCAAAGGTTCATGGAACCCAGACAATCAACAACTGGCTTGAGCGTGTCCTGTACCTCTGGCTGAGCAGCTCTAAGCTCAACACTAGCAGCAGCTGGCCTTGGTTGGCGGCTTGCCTCTGAGGCACTTCCAAGCATGGCACAGGTGGTGGCCATCTGTGGATTTCCTTGTAGCTCCGGCTGGGTGGTCCAGAGTGGAGCACTAGCTGCTACTGAACTTTATCTGCAGCAGGTCCCCTCCCAGGTGGCCCTGGGGCTGGCACCCCCAGTGGCCAGCTTTGAAACCAGCTGAAGCATCACCCAGCTGCCTCCAAGGACGATGCACCCAAGGGGCAGATTAGGCAGGCTCCAGAGTCCTGCTGAGACAGATCCTGCTCTGTAGGGTCAGCACCTGCACCACAACTCCTCCACTATTGTCAAGGTCAGCCCTCACAACCAATGAGCCTGAGAGTCAATACCTCCCACTGATATGCAAATAGCAACCACGGATCAACTATAAGAGGAGGGAACAGACAACCTACAGAAAGGACACACCTGGGGTACATGGCTCAAGTGACAAGAAAGGCTGTGCCACTGAGCCCCACAGCACACCTGCTACATAAGGCCATTCTACTAAGACCGGAAGACATAGCAGCCCCACCTAATACATAGAAACAAACACAGGGAGGCAGCCAAAATGGGAGACAAAGAAACATGTCCCAAATAAAAGAGCTGAACAAAGCTCCAGAAAAAGAACAAACAAAATGGAGACAAGTAATCTACCAGGTGCAGAATTCCAAACCCTGACTATAAGAATGCTCAATGAACTCAGGCAGAGCTTCAACAAAGAGATAAGAAAAATAAAAATGGAGATAGAAAACATAAAAAAGAACCAGTCAGAAATAAATAAAAAAATACAATAACTGAAATGAAGAATACACTGCAGGAAATCAACAGATTAGATGAAGCAGAGGATCAAATCAGCAATTTAGAAGATAAGGTAGCTAAAAACACCCAATCAGAAGAGCAAAAATAAGAAAAAAGAGTACAAAACACTGAGGAGAGTTTAAGGGGCCTCTGGGACAACCTCAAGCATAACAACACTCGCATTATAGTGGTGCCAGAAGAAGACAGCAAGGAATTGAAAACCCATCTGAAGAAATAATGACAGAAAACTTCCCTAACCTAGTGAAGAAAATAGACATAGAAGCCCAGGAAGCACAGAGTCTCAAACAAGATGAACCCAAAGAGGCCCACACCAAGACACATAATAATTAAAATGCCAAAGGTTAAAGACAAAGAAAGAATCTTAAAAGCAGCAAGAGAAAAGCAGTTTGTTACCTACAAGCGAGCTCTCATAAGACTGTCAACCCATTTCTCAAAAGAAACTTTGCAGGTCAGAAAGGATTGGCAGGAAATAATCGAAGTGATGAAAAGGATGGACCTACAACCAAGATGACTCCACCCAGCAAAGCTATCATTTAGAGTCAAAGAACAAATAAAGAGCTTCTCAGACAAGAAAACGCTAAAGGAGTTAGTTCATCACCACCAAACCAGCATTACAAGGAATCTTTGAGGAACTTCAGATAAAAATAAAATAAAAAATATGAATAAAGTGGCAATAACTACAAACATATCAACAATTACTTTCAATGTAAATGAATTAAATGCTCCAATCAAAAGATTGGGGGACTGAATGGATACATAAGCTGCCTACAAAAAATTCACTTCAGATTGAAAGACACACACGGACTGAAAGTAAAGGGCTGGAAAAAGATAGTTAATGAAATTGGAAACAAACAAAAAGCTGGAGTAGCAATACTTGTACCAGACAAAATAGACTTTAAAACAAAGGCTATAACAAGAGACAAAGAAGAATCTAGTGATTCCCACTTCTGGATATCTATCTAAACAAACCCAAAATGCTACTTTGAGAGGGCGTGCTTATCTATATGAAGTCAAACAATTAAGTTCACAAACTCATCCTAGAAAAAGTGCTACATACCTCATTGCTGAATATCACTATAGTCACCTTTGAAGTACTCCCCTTGGGAAGCAGTGCACTGACACCAGTGCCTAGTCCACCCTTCAAAGCAATTTTGGAACTTTTTCTGGAATGGCTATCAGAGCTGTCATCGTATTACTCTTGCTGTCCTGAATGTCATCAAAATGTCTTCAATATTTCCTTTATCTTCAGGTAAAGAAAAAAGTCACTGTGGGCCAGATCAGATAAGTGGGAGGGTGTTTCAATATAGTTATTTGTTTACTGGCTAAAAACTCCCTCACAGTGTCATGTGAACTGGTGCATTGTTGTGATGCAAGAGACATGAATTGTTGGTGAAAAGTTCAGGTCGTCTAACTTTTTCACGCAGCCTTTTCAGCGCTTCCAAATAGTAAGTTTGGTTAACTGTCCAGTTGGTACAAATTCATAATGAGTAATCCCTCTGATATCAAAAAAGTTTAGCAACATCATTGCAACAAGTTCACAAACTTAATTGTCAGACCTCGTATGTTCATTGCAGAATTATTTACAATAGCCAAGGTTTGAAGGCAATTTGGGTGTCCCTGAATGGATGAATGGATAAAGAGGTGGTACATACATACAATGGAATATTACTCAGTTGTAAAAAAGAACAAACCTTGTCATCTGCAACAATATGGATGGATCTAGAGGGTATTGTGCTGAGTGGAGTAAGTCAGACAGCAGAAAGCAAATGTCATATGACTTTACTTATAAGTGGAATCTAAAAAATAAAACAGAAACAAACTCATAGAGAACATTTTGATGGTTGCCAGATGGAAGGGGGGTTGGGGTCAGTGAAAAGGGGAAGGGATTAAGAAGTATACATTGGTTGATGCACAGTAGCCATGGAGATGCAGTGTAGGATGGGGACTATGGTCAATTATATGGTAGAAACTGTGTATGGTGTCAGATGGGTACTAGATTTGCTGGGGTGATACATGGGAGGGTTTGAAAAAGGTGAGGGGACTGGGAAATGCAAATTGGTACTTGCAGGATGGTCAGGGGGGTGTAAAGTGTAGGGAATATGATCAATGATATAGTGATAACTATGTATAGTGCCAGGTGGGTACTAGTCAGCAGGATCACTTCCTAAATGAATGAATGTCTAACCACTGTGCTGTACACCTGAGGATAATACAGAATAATATTGAATGTCTACTCTAAATGGAAGATTAAAAAAGGGGGGGAAGATAAAGGAGAATGGGGGGTTTACATTTCTAGATATAAAAGGGGTGAGTCTTGAGAATGTAACATACAGCATGGGAAATGTGGTTGGTAATGTTATGATAACATGGTACGCTGTCAGATGGTTGCTGGACTTATAGGATCACTTCTCTAGTATATGGAATATAATCAATAATGTGGTAATAACTCTGTATAGTATCAGGCGGGTACTATTGAATAACTATGATGTACACCTGAAACTAACATAATATTGTATGCTAACTATATTTTAATAAAAATCTTAAAAAAAAAAATAAGAGTAGCTCTTTACCCTGGGCCTTGCATATATAGAAACTGCTCAACAAAAAGTTGTTAAAATGACCTTAATTTTTACTCTTAAACTGATTAGATTGCTTTCCATGTTTTGTCCTTCTCTGATAAAGTGTCTAGAAGCAAAAGAAAAACACAGGCAAAATCATTATAAAGAAATGAATTGAAACATTTTACTCTGCTTCATGATGTACCATCTTCACCAATGTAGCAAAATGTAGGTTTTCTGAGTTGCTTACTTTAAATATAATATAATGTATTGCAAATTTCTAAGCATTGTTCATTGCAATAAAGAATTGCCTTTCTTTAGTAAGTTGCTTCCTCAGCATCTCCTATTACACTTTCATATGTGGAGTGCAAGGTCCCCCTAAAACCTTAATGCAATTTCAGGCTGTATCTCTTAACATTTTAAAACTTTATTATGCAATGTTATACAAATATCACTGTACAGTCCTTTTGTTTGTAATGATGGTAGTCCAGCCTTTCTCATTTTGCAGATTGCAAGGAGGCAGGAGGAGCGGTATTCCAGTACCTTCTCTTGGCTCACAAGAGTACCAACAAAGACAACACCAGTAATACTCAGGTGACAATGTTCTTACACAGTAACAGGATCTGGAAAGCTTAATCCTTGCTGTGACACTGTGGGTTCCCATCAGCAACCACAAGGTCTTACAATAACAAGCCACGTACTTCCACTTTTGGAATGTTTATAATTAACAGGTCTTCTGAGTTTGCTACTTTATAAAGACCACATAGTTATATGGTAGTTTCAGCACCCAGGTATCCTCCTCTTAGGTTTCAGAAAAGCCCACCCTTCTGTAACATGAGCTTAATTTAAAATAAATAAATTAAAAAGTCCAAGGAGAGTCTTTGCCTCCATCATCAAGATGAATTTTTTTTTTTCCCCTTAAACAATTTATTGATTTTTTTCAATGCCATGTCCCAAGTCACAAGACACGTCCAGGCTGCCCGGGCTTTGACCTGGCCTGGGGACCTTGGGCTGAGGCCTAAGATGAATTTTAAAACCATAATAGTTGATTACTAAACTGAAAAGTTACATTGAAACAGTTCATTGAAAGGTTGAATTTTATATGGTACAAAAGTATTAAATGTTTGAACCTGTCATCCAAGTATTGGGTTGTTGGAAGAGTCAGGACGTATTTTGTTGCAAAAATGCATCATGACTTTTCCGACAACCCAACAGAAGGTTCTTTCAGTTCTTCAGGCCACCCTTCCTTTCAGAGGCAAATAAACAAGAAACAGATAATAGTATGGAGAACATATATAGAAAATTTTCTTTTATGGGAACAAAAATATTGGACATTTTATATTTAGTATAGCTTAGCAATCCAGTTTATGTTGATAAATGTAGTTAATTGTTAGGAAGTACATTACACATACAAAAGATCTCAATAGACAGCAGATATTTTAACCCTTGATTAAGGACAAAATGTCTGATTCAATTTTTTTCTTGTATTTTTTTAAGAAGATACTCCATTTGTAAATTGAAGTTTGGTTGGCCTTTCTTAGTCTTTTTGCTCAATATTTTAAACACTTCCATTTTCTTCTTTTTGTAGAGTCTTTGAGCTTCTTCTCTCTCTTGTTTTCTCCTCTCGAATTCCTGAAATTAACATATGTAACTTTGACTAGTAACAAACAGTAGATACAGTTAAGAAATGGTGTTGAAATAGATATCACCATGCAAACACTTTACTGTATTTCCCCAAAAATAAGACTGTATCTTATTTTAATTTTTGCTCTAACAATCTACTACATTTATTCATGTACAAAAATCTACATTTATTCAAACAGTCATGTCTGGCTGATGATCTTAACTGGGGCTTATGTTTGGTGTAGGGCTTATATTACGAGCATCCTGAAAAATCATGCTAGGGCTTATTTTCCAGTTCGGTCTTATTTTTGGGGAAACACGGTAGGTATATTTTTTATATTTTCAAAATGTTAAGTGTTACCCATTACTAAAGTAATCTACTGTCACTGTCTTTGCACTAAAATACATACTAAGACAAAGTTATTAAACAATTTTAACTATTTGTATGAAAATAAAATTAGAGCAAAGAAAAGAGAAGGCGTATTCATGAAATGATTTCATCATTTAATTACAATAGATCCACTGAAGAATCAGAAGGGACGTTAAAGTTTATCTAATACATATAACACTAAAATCTTCACTTCCATAATATCTGGTATTCTTTTTAAGATGCCACCTGACAGATTTAATTCAAGAAGAATTTTAACTACATATCATATATGTGCAAAACATTGTGCTAGGCATGATGATTTTTAACCATTTAAGAATTATCATGCTCATCTGATTTGCTAAGAGAAAGACAAGTTCATAATTCAGGTATATAGTGTATAGACCTGAAAAGCACTACTTGAAATGCACTACAATATTTTTACCAAATCAAATATAAAAGTCAAACAAAAGAAGTTCTTAAGTAATGTGTGTACTGTTTTTCAATTCCCCCACTAACACATATAGCCCCCAAATGACACAGTCTGAAATTTGTATGGTGACTTATAATTAACCAAGTACTTTCACATACAACATAGTGCATTCCATTCTTTCAAACTTTTATGCTATGATTTTATCTCTATCTTACAGATGAGGAGCTGATGCTCAGTGATATCAACTGATTTCCCCAGGACCCCAAATCATTGCTATAGCCAAGTCTCATATCCAGATATTGTGAATTCAAAGTCTGCGCAATTCTCCATTATGCTGCGCCCTATCACTGAAACTTATGTTCTCATATGGTAGAATGCTTCATTTATTTTAACAAGCACATAAAGATATGGAACTTATTTGTAAATTTAGGCATATGGAGTCTAATTTATCCCTATGGAGTTTCACTAAACAAAGTAAAAAAAAAATTTCAATAGTCTTACCATCAATTATGGGTCTTTATTTAATTAATGTTCTTAATTTTGATTTCTCATGGGTAATGATGCTGGCTATTAACATTTAAAATCTGAGAAACTGCCAATTTTCATAATTACAAAGTCGTAGCATTTATGCATATAGAGGAAATTTTAGAAGGATATTAAATGCTTGACAGTATAATGGTCCTTACTATACTTCACCTGGTTTACTATTTCCAATGGTGGCAGATATTAGAGAGTTGGTTAGAAAAAAGCAGAACGTAACAAGCTATGAACCAAAGGTCCATTATTTCCATGGAGAAATATTTAAGAATAATCATAAAAATTTTAGACGTGAAACTTCCAGGAATCTCCAAATTTCTTTTTTTTAATTTCAGCTTTATTGAGGTAAAGCTGACAAACAAAATTGTAGGATATTTAAAGCGTACATCGTAGTGATTTTAAGTTTCATATTTTCATATCCTGTTTAAGAAACGTTCAAATTCTAAAGCTAAAACATAAAAAAATTATGTCAGTGCCATCTTTGGGACATGTTTGATTGATGCACTATCCTTTGTAAAGTGACAGATTTAAAAGTTTCAATACAAAAACTAAGTTAATCACAGAGTAAACAAAATGATAATTTTGTTGAAGCTGTGGATAACTTTGTTTTACTCATTTGAAAAATCTATTTTAACTTGGGGTTTCTGAATGATACTAATAGAGTGGTAACTTTTGCTAAGTTAATCAGGTAGGCTTTTTAATTGGCAAGACCAACTCTTTACAGTAAAGAAATATTTTATTCATGCCCCCGGTTGTTACTTGCTTCAATGTAAAATTATTAAAGTCATCTATGTTTTTCTTAAGTCAGTGGTTCTCAATTTTTATTACATAAGAATCTCTGATGTACTTGTTAAAAGTGTAAGTTCCTGGACCAGACTCTTGGTAAACATTATCCCAGAAGCTCGTAATATTAACCTATGAGCAGTATCTTCAAAATCCTATTCTTTCTTACTACTGTCACCTTCTCAAAGTAACACAATCAAGGAATTTAAGTATGTTGAAATTCTCCAACTCTGCTCATACCACTCATTTATTCAATAAATATTTTCAGAGGGCATACTATGTTCTCCACACTGAGTAGCACAGCTTACATATACATTTAGAATACATAGGAAAAACCAATCTAAATATTTTAAAAGATCTTACTTGTTTCTTAGCAGCACGCTTAGCTTGCACCTGTTCATATTCTTCTTGTGCTTTTTGATTTGATGTTTTCTTTTTATTTTTCTTCGGAAGAGTAATGGAGCTTTATAAGATAAATGAAAATAAGTAAGTCACAAGGATTAAAAACTATAACCAAAATTATGACAGTTATGTAAAATATAGTACTTGCATAGTAAAATCTCATTAATGTAAATTAATAGAGGGGGAAAGAGAGAAGGGAGAAGAGGACATTAATTTACTAATAAAATATACAAATAACATTAAAAATACTGTTATAGCTTTTAAGATATAGATTAAAAAGTGGTGAATGGAGACTGTTGGAGAAATATTTCAACTAGGGAAAAAAACAGAATGATTTGAAAGATCCTATAATGTTAAAACAAATTTTTAAAAACAAAAACAGTATACGAATGGCAGTATATGAATGGCAGAAATGATAGACTGAAAAAGGCATTCGGCTGAAGGATGTTATGGAAGTTGTGGGTGTACATGAACTTTAATCCCAAAGTTCTCTATGGCATTTCTTCTACTTAGACATAAATGCCCCCACCTCCACTTAGAACTGCTCTATCTTAAAGCACTTCTCACCTCTATGGAGGTGTCCCAGCCCACCGTGGCTAATTCAACCACTGAGATCCATTTCCTCAGGATGTCTGAGTCATTGATAATCTTCCTTTTTCCTGTCTCTCAACTTTTCACTACACCAACTCAGAACCACAATATAATGTATTTAGTAGCTGCCTTCTTAAAGTAAACAAATGCATAAATTACCCATCACCAAACTCTATATCCTCTTCTAAGTACCAATCTCTCATTCACCATCTTTTCATGGTCAAGTATCTAGAGATAGTCACTTCACATTCACTCCATAATTCTGTAATCTGACTTCTGCTCTCACCACTCCAATCAAACTACCCATGTCAAGACAGTCATGACCTTGTAGCCAAATATGATGACCAAGTCAATGGGCGCTTTTCAGTCTCATTTAATTGACCATTCACTACTTTTGAGAATTCCATTCCCTTAGTTTTGGTGACATTCTTCTCTCCTGATTGTTTCTAACTGCTCTTGCTCCGTGTGCCCTGCTAGAGCCTCTTTTTCTTTCTTACTCCAGGTGTTTTGCAAAGTGTCTCTCTCTTTGGTCTCCATATTCTTCTTAGGCAGTCATATCCATAACCGTGGCTTTGGATGCTACATGTAAAAGGCTAAAAACTTAATCAGGCTTATCTATCGAATACCTTCTCTCCAAGGTCACTAATGACAGCCTAGCCCACAACTCCAAAGACCTGTTCTCAGTCCTGAATTGCTTGGACTTTATAATATTTGAGAGTTGACCAATCCCTACTTTGCCCAATTGTCCTCTGCTGACATATTGTCATTGTATTCCCCTCTTTCTCTAATTAAGGCAGTTCTGTTTAACTTTTTCAATTACATTTCCCTGCTTTCACCTCAAGAATAAAAAGTCTTTAAAAATATGATTTTTACCTAAGAAGGTAAGAATCTTGTGTCATGACTAAACCCTCTTTACTTCATTCATCACTGGAAATGATTCATACCTACATTTCTAGTGCTAATCTTCTACCTGAACTTTATACCCATTATTCTGTAATAAAATGGACAAACCTACTGAAAAAATTGAATTTTTTGTGTCTCTGTCTTTATCCCCAACTACACTTTTTCCTGGGGTCCTACTGCCTACTATGTTTAGCCCAAATAGTTCACAATTTTAAAGGATGGAATTTTAGTGAAGTAAAACATTATGATCCCACATAACACTTGGCTTCTCTGAAAGTCTAGATTTTAGTGTGGTTTTTTAACTTGGGATATGTGCAGAGAAAGCTTTATTAGTTAGCATTTATAAAATCAGTGTAATGGAGCATTGACATTTGTTTTTTAATTGATACTAAGTCCATGTCCTCTGGAAAAAAGAATCTAGATTAGTAGTAGCAGCAGCAGCAGCAGCAGCACTTAACACTCATGTAGCACTTCTCATGTACCATATACTTAAAGTACCTTATAATATTACAATAAATGAACTCATTTAGTCTTCACAATGTCACCATAGGTCAGGGACACCAGAGAGTCTGTGACTAATCCATTCTTGAGATGTATAAAACGACAACTCTGAATTACATACTTATTATTATCATCTCCATTTTAGAGAACAGGACATTGGGCACCAGTATGTTAAGTCCAGCTCCAGAGTCCATCCATGCTGTTAACCACTATGCCATACCTCTCAAAAATTAGTTTTTAAAAAAACATGTATTAATAACAGGCATTAATTATGGTCCAAGTAAGTTAAATATGCTTGAGAGGCTGAAATCTAAAACCCAGAGCTTTTAGTTCCCATTCCACTACCTCTTCAATTAAGCTCAATTAGCCTAATTAAGTCATTTAAGACAAAACAAAGCTTCCATGAAAATATTTTCACTAAATTCACTGTGACTTCTAAAATGACTTAAATAAGAAAAATTCCAATTTCTACATAAATTGTCTTATAATCTCTTTCATAAAACTACCTACATTCAAAACAAAGGATTTCAAAAGAAGACAATACATACTTTACCCTTTCTTCTTTCCACTGTTGCTCTGGCTGAGACTGGTCAATGCTACAATGTTCTTCAGACAAAGCCTGGTCAGAATTACATTCTTCTTCTGGCAAATCCTGATTAGCCTGTTCTTCTGACACAGGCTGGTTGACTTTTCTAAGTTGCTTCCTGAGTCTTTCTTCCTCAGCTAAATAGAGGTGTTTCAGATGATCAGGGTATCGATCTCTGAATTGGGATTCCTGTGAGCTTTGAGCCTTCTTTTCCCTCCACAGCAATTTCCTGTAATTTTGCTGAATTTTCAATTTTCTTCGAAATGCAAATCCTTGTCCTACATTGAAGAATATCAATCACTAATTACTTTCTCAGAAAATAAGTTGCATGAAAAATGTAGCTGTTAACTTTAAACGAAAACTTCATCATCACATTCAGATACTAGAATTACTTTGTTTTGCTTTAAAAGGTTATTTCACACAAACAAGTTTAAACTAATGGAATGAAGAGTACGATGGTTCCCTGCAAAAAGGCCAGACAAGCATTAGTCCTGCAGACTCTTCAAGTAGCATCTCAAGTTAGGAAAACTGACTAGGGTGTTACACAACTCCAGTTTATTGTACTCACAAATCAAAACATATTCCTTAATTCATCTAAAACACTTAATCTACTATACGACTAATTTTTTAAAGTAATTCAACACAAACGAGAGAAGATGGTGTATGACTTTCTGAAAAGCTAGCAATTACCAGAAGACTGACTTGATTTAAGATTTATACATTCCAAATAAGATTTGAGGGAACTTACAGACAGCAAGACAAGATGACAAACACAAACTAAGGCGAAGGAAAGATCAGAAAGAAGACTGGAGGGCCCTGGAGTATTTGTAATCAGCAAGGGTATGTATGGGGCAGTCGATTTCTGGCCCTATACTCTCTATCCTTTTCCTTAATACATGCGCAAATGCATATACAGAAATACACACAGAAGTGGACCTGTAAATGTTCTCTGCTTACGGTTTCATCGAGAAATGCAGAGGATGAGTTCTGATCAAGAATGGGGATAAGTGGGGAAGGTGTTTAAAGATACAGAGTTAGCAACACTTCCCATCCAGAGCTCTGAGACACCCACGGCTTCAGCGGGCTTCGGAATGACTTCCTCTGCCCGAAGCAGGGCCGACCTGGTTCCGAAGTCCAGCTTCCCTGCTTTGGTGGGTCGCGTGTTCTAAGACTTCACAGCCCTGCGGACTTGTAAAAGGATACCTTCTTACCCTCGCGAACGCTCCCCACGAAGGCCTGTGGAAGGTTAGGTCGCCACGTCCTGTGTTTCGCATTCTTATTCTTCAATCCGACCGGAGAACTTCCTTCACCAGGCGTTCCGTAAGTGCCTACCGCCGACCTCGCTGCTGGCCTTACCGGCGCCATGACACACCAATCTCGTCACTAGAAAAACCACATCGGACGCTGTCAAAATACGTCATCAGGCCAAAGCAACCGATCTGCCAGGGTGTAGATCAGAGCTCTACTTATCAGGCCTGTGCAACTTTTTAGCAGAAACCTAGCTTCACGGCCACGTTTGCGCCACCTACAGCGCGGGAGGGTGAGCGTCATGGCGGCTTCTTGCCCGCTCCCAGTGACCCAGGACCTGTCCACTTTACGTGCCAAGTTGCAGGGGCTGCTGCGGTTCCTGCGGGAAGCCCTGTGCATTTCAAATGCACATACGGTGGACTTTTACACGGAGTCCGTGTGGGAACAACTAATCGACTTGCCTCCAGAGACGGTACTGGCGGTGCTAAGGAAATCGACGGAGGCGGCGGAGGCCCGGCCCCCCGAGGCGCGCCCCCTGGTGGAAGCCGAGAGAACATCAGGTGAATGGCGGTGGGCGGGGCGGACAGGGAGGCTGAGAAGGTCCCGCCCCCGAAGCGTGCTCTTCGCGGACCCCGCGTGGAAGGAGGGGCGGGGTCGGAGGAGCGCGGCGCGGGCGCTCTTTCCAGATCTCTCTTTCGTCTCATGGTGCTTGGGTATTTTCACAGTTTAACCAGAACTAGAAACAAGGCAGGGCGTTCCTTCATTTAGTAATTCCGCAACAGTGTTTTGACTGGGAGGAAATAAGGGGAACAGTGCTCTCACCTGCTTGTAGATTGCATGTGGAAACACAGCAGAAGGTATATCAACACTTAACGAAATATACATCAAGATAATTCCAGGTGATGATAATGGCCAAGAAGAAAATAAAAAGAGGCACATGTGATAGCGATGGTGTGAGGAGGCTGCTTTAAGCAAGGCGGTCAGCAGCATGAGATGGTGCCAGCCTGCCGTGCGCCACGGGAAGGGGATTCAGGCCCCGGGTGCCACGGTCCCCTGCGGCAGGACCGAGCGGGGCTGGCTGAGGTTCAGGGGCTGCGTGGCCAGGGCCAGGTGCGGAGCAGCGGCAGGTGAAGTCAGGGAGGCAGGCGGATCGCACAGGGCTGTCTAGCCTTGGAAGAAGATTGGATTTTAAATGTGATGGTGAACTTTGGAGCCATGTAGTCATTACATTTGAAAAGACAGCTTTGATACTGTTTGAAGGACAGACTAGCGGGGCAGAAGCTGAGAGGTCAGTTAAAAGACCATTTCATTAGTACAAGAAAGGAGTAGGACTAGGATAGTAGCAGTGAGGATCTGGAATATTTACTAGTTCATTTGAAAATTGTTTTTCAAGTATCCACTATGTGTCATGAATTTTTGTTGGCTCGGGGGTTTCGTGCCCTCAAGAAAGTCAGATTCAACCATTCTCCTTTTGGAAAGTGGAATGATGAGAGGCCACCAGCAGGCTGCTGGGTTTTCTCCTACTTTGCTTCCAGGTGTCCCCAGCCTTGCCCTCGCTAGTGAGCCTTCCTTCTTCATTGAGCATTCTCTGAATGCAAAGCACCATTCGAGGGGCCTCCTATGATAGGACTTGGTAAATACTCGTTTCTTAAAGTCTCTGTTTGTTGTTGAAAAGTTAGGCACCTTTTCAGTTTGTTCCCCTTATACCCAGTACTTACGATAATATGCAACTTAAATTCCGAAAGGGCAGAAACTATGTCCTTCCTGTAAACAGATGTAGTCCCAGCACCTAGTAGAATACCTGTAGTGCATTAAATGCTCGATGGGTATTTGTGGAATGAATGAATGACTCATGGTAGCTTCCCAAAAAAGAAAAGAAACTACCTTTAAATATAAAGCCCAAGACTTTCATAGGGGTTAAGCTTTGTCTTCATGCAATGGAAGAATTAGATTGTCTTACATATCTTAGTGATAGGATTAATTGATATTTATTATTTATTATGTGCTAAGTGTTTTCTTGCCAATTTTCTCTAATAATCATTCCATCAGCCTTGCAAGTTGGCTTCTGTTTTTCTCAAATTGTGAAATTGCAACTTGAATTACATTTGCCAGGGGCACAGCGTTGAATGGCGTCTCAAACCTGGGTCATGTGACCACAGAGTCTGAGGTCTTCACCATCGTGATAAAAGCCTCCTCTGAACTATTTAGGAATGAATTCGAAAGGCGTCTTTATCACAATCAATATTTTTATGACACTGATACATTTCTTACTGTTACTTTTTTTGTTTTGTTGTGGTTTGGTTTGGTTTTATTGTTTCTCCTTCAAGAATGTTAGTATTTTTCACTGCTGTTTCCCTAGTGCCTAGAACAATGGTTGGTCTGCATATGTGGGCAATAAATATTTGACTAAAGTGAATGAATGTGTGATACCACTTTTATGGGCTAGAAAGAAACTACTAATGTCTTTTGGGGAAACCTTATAACCAGTTTTGTATTTATCCAACAATAGAATCTAAGCTCAACTGTTCACCTTCGAAATGCCTTTGGCACTGCAAATCTTTTTATACACAATATTCAATTTTACAAATGATCAGCTGCCTATTGTGCTAAAAAAGAATGAATTTTTACAATTTATGCTTGTAAGGAATATTCTTTTTTCTTATGTAAAGATTATTTAAAGGTGGCTATTTTCACCATCACTGTATATAGTCTATGGCTTGTATCAGAGAAGAGCGTTAGAATCCTTTAACCAGATTTGTATTTTAATAAAGAATTGTTAGCTACTATCTACAGTATAATTTAGTAAATTTTTAGGCTTTTGAGTCAGGTAGGGTTCAAATTCCAGTTCTTCCATTACCAGCCGTGTGACCGTGGGAAGTTCATTCATTCAGCAGTTACGGAGTGTCTGCTATGTACCAGCGCTGCTTTAGTTGCAAGGGAAACAGCAGTAAAGAAAACAAAAATCCCTACCTTCCTCTCGCTTGCATTCTAGAGGGAGAGTTAGTGACAACAACAAAGTGCCACAGAGGAAAACTTCAGTAGAAAAGGAAGGAGTAGATAGGGGAAGTGCAGGATGGAAGTGTATTTGCAATTTTAAACAGGTTGTTCCAGCAAGACCTCAGGGAGATGACTCTGGAAAAAAAGCCAAAATAAGGAGAAAAATGGACCCTGAAGCTATCTGGAGGGCGAGCATTCCAGGTACTGAGAACGGGGAGCTCGGAGGCCCTGAGATGGGAGCTCGCACAGTGTGTTTCAGGAGCAGCGCGGGGACTGGAACAGATTTCCGTCAGGGACTCACAAGGAGTACTGTGTTCTGCTGGTTCTGCATGAGGAGTTACACATCAGCACAGTTCCCAGGACTGCACTGCGTTAATGTACAGTGTACGGAGTACACTAACAGATGTTTGGCACCATCATTTGGTGTTTTATGAAACCAAGTTGTTTCTGAAAATCTTCAGTGTAGCCATTTTAATAGATTGCTCTTGCCAGATGATCTGGCCTGCTTAGAGTTCTGAAAATGTCTTCTCTTCTGTTCTACTAAAATGACCTAGAGAAAAAAATCTTAAATATCCAAAATAAAAAGGAAAGATGTTGCAAATAACTACATTTCAAGGGCATAAATTATGGGTGTTATGGATTGAATTCTCTCTCCAAAATTCATGTTGAAGCGCTAATTCCCGATGTGACTGTATCTGGAGATGAGGCCTTTAAGGAGATGATTAATGTTCAATGAGGTCATAAAGGTCAAGCCCTAACCCAGTAGGAAGAGGAAGAAAATAGGAGTTCACACACTGAGAAAAACTATGTGAGGATATAGCGAGAAGGCAGCCATCTGTAAGCCAAGGAGAGAGGCTTCCCCAGAAATCAACTCACCTTGATCTTGGACTTCCAGCTGCCAGAAGTGTGAGAAAATATATTTGCTGCTTAAGCCAGCCAGTCTGTAGTATTCTGTTATGGCAGCTGCGCAGACTAATACACAGGCTTTGCAGAAAGACTACCTGGATTCAAGCCTTGGCTCCATCACTTACTAGCTTTATTAACTCAGGCTTCTTCTCTGTGCCTCAGTTCCTCACGTATAAAACGGGGGTAATTATAGTTCCTACTTGATGAGAATGCCATGAAAGTTAAATGAGTTAACACACAGAAAGGGTTAAGAATAATGCCTAACAAATAGCAGCACTTAATCCATTCATTCATTTGACTGATGTTCATTGAACACCTTTACCTACCAGGCCCTGTTCTCAGCCCTAGAGTTAGCGGCATTTAACAGAACAAAGTGCATGTCCATGTGGAGGGTACATACGGACACGCTAAACTCTGTACTATCAGGTGGCAGTAAAGACAGTGAAGAAAAGCAAGGCAGGAAGGGAAAGGAAAAATGATAGTGTGGCGGAGGGAAATGCTATTTCAGATAGGGGAATCAGGAAGTCTAACAAGACAGAATCTGAACAGAGACTTGAAGGAAGGGAGCGAGCCAGTCATGCAGCCGTCTGAGCAAAGAGCGTTTCAGGCCGAGCGAAGAGCAGGCCCCCACGCTCCAGTGTGCTGGGTGTGTTGGAAGCCCGGCAGAGCTGTCCAGGTGAGGCTGGAAGAGGTGACCTTTGAGAGGCGGCTTGGGGTAACTTCAGGTAGGACTGGCAGGCCGTGCTCAGGGCTCGGCTTTCACTCTGGGTGAAATGGAAAGCTCTTTAGGACTTTGTGGTGGTGTGATACGTGAGTTATGTTTCAAAGGGATACTGGCTCCTGGGTGGAGAAGAGGCCATTGGAAGGGAAAGGAGGAAGCAGGAAGACTAGGTAGGAGCCTATTAAAATAGTGCAGGAGACTTCAGGTAATGTCTCCAGCAGATAACAATGATAAACAGTGGCCAATTACTAAAAACAACTACTGGAAGATTCTGGAAGATGACCAAAGATAGGCAGAAACATGAGAAGTTTGCTATTGAAAGACGGCTACTGATTGGTAAGAACTGGGAGTTTAATGGCTTTCTTGCTGGGGTTGGTCCAAGCCCCTCTAGATCTGACAGTGGAAAAGTACACCCTTCCCAGCTCAAGGTGGTAATGACTGTTCAGAGATCAGAGATGGTGGCAATTTAAGGAGTACGTTCTGGAAGCAGGAGAGCCACAAAAGGGCTGCAATCTAAGAACTAAGTACGAACTCTGTCTGCCTAACTCGCCGGATAACCTCTAAACTGCACATGCTGGGGGGACCCAGAGAGTCCAGGGAAAATGCTACAAAGCTAAGGAGCCCATTAGCCTTTGAAAGTCAGAGCTCCTGGAGAGATGTATAAATGCACTGCACCTTCGACAGGGTGTGTTCCCCAAAGTGTACACAGCTTGGGTGCAAAAATCAGAAGTCTTAATGAATTCATGTGTCAAAGGGCAGAATTCAGCGCTGATAGAGCAACTGGAAATTTAGGCTGGGGAACCTCAGGCCCACAATCTGAGGATAGAACCTACCCAAATCTTTCCCTGCCTGCTAACCTA